GTCAAAAAAGATAAGTAAATGGAGTAGTAGGATTAAATATGGTATTAACATATAAATCTTCTAGCCAATTTGGAATAATCTATTAATAAAACATTTTAAATAGCTTTATTACTTTGCAAAAAGTTTACCTATCCTGTAAACAATCCCTTTGCATCTCCTTCTATATTTTCTGTTAGTACTGTTACTAATGCTGTCATAAAAATAGGCTCAAAGCTCTCTTAATTTAAGATATAAGATTTCATGAGGTGCAAAACACAAGGGCAATATTGGTGTTGATACATTTTATAACTAGCCAAACTATTAGGTATATTATACTATATACAGTTTGAAATGGACTATGCTTCTGTTATATGTTATATGATATATACTTACATATATTCATATCAGTGATAAAACGAATATAAGCCATACAGATTCTGTTTATTTTAATTGAAATTGTGTGAATCGTATACACAAAAATCAAATCAATGAGTATTGTGTAGACGACTCTTTCGTTAATTAAATATTTATCTTGCAACTTTCTCTATTATTAATTATTCAAAGTCCACGAGTGCTTGGCAGGGTACAAATTTATAGTAAGAATATAGATTGATCGCTAATAAATTATATTTGGTATTTTTTTTATTTCTTATTATGTATTTATCTGATTCTCAAGTCAATTTCTATGTTTCAAATTACTTGAATGACGAACGAGTATTACATATGAGACATACTTTCATCTACAATAAAGTAATTAAAGTAAAATGGTATTAATTCGGGATATTAATTAATCCGGGAATGAATTACAATGAACACATTAACAGACGTTAACCTACCTTTATTGTCTAACGGGTATCAAATTCCAATTAGCACCGGTAACTCATTCGTGATCAATTAAAAGAAAATTTGGAATATCATTCTATTTCATCTATTATTAAAATCAACTTTGATAGAAATTTTGTGTAAAATTATTTTGTCTATGACTCCTCGACCAACTAAATATGAATATGCTGCTTATTTTATCGACGTGTCTTATCACACCGGAGGTTCTTATCTTGACCTTGTCCTCTCGCAAAATAATTTGCAAATTGTAGCCAGGTATTATAACGTTATAAGTTAGGGATGGCAAACACAATACAAAGATATAGTCTCCTTATTTTAAACCTATATGAAATTCTTAGATTATATATTGCACGAAAACATTTTATTTTTTTACTTTAATTTTACATTTTTCACTAAACATCAACCTAATAACATGTAAGGGATTATCCAACTTCTTGAATTGAAATTGTTAAAGAGCTTTGGTACCCTATAATAAACTATGAATACTTATAAAATAACAACAAATAATTTCATCATTATATTTGAATCACGATTCAGCTTACAATTTTTGTTGAGATGGAAACTTACGAGCTACAACAATTAGTAAATAATCGTTGAATATACCTACTTTTTTCAACTGACACACACAGTGTTTAATTTCATTCAAGGATCAGATGATTCATTTTTGTGAAGAACTGTAAAAGGTGTAGCAAGACTAGAGCAATTCGAAATAACATGTCGTTCATATGTAACTATGAACGTGGTGGCCTAGGGGTTAAAGTCGCCTTCATCGCCATAGTGGAATATCAAGGAATCACTTTCGTATTCACCTCGATGCAGCGACTTAGCTACCTCCCCTCCCCCTTCACCCCTCATGATGTCTTTGGAACTCTAATTAATTCAGAATAAAGGTATTTTCACTACGAGAACCTTAGTACTGATGTTCTTAAAGAGGAAATATAAAACATCGTAGGTATATTTTCGTGAACGAAACTATTAAACGAATGTCATAGAACAGATCATTTATATCAGAAAACTGTAGTGAGTCAGAACAAATAGAAAATGCACTTCTTTGCACGGATGAAGGCCATATTTTAAACAACAACAAATAGAAAAGTTTCATTTAAATAGAAAAGTTGTCGGATTCTAAAGGTCAAAGTTGTTTTTAAAAAAACCAATTATTAATTATGTAAGACATTTTTTGTTATTCCGATTGAAATTATAACTGACGGAGTATTGTTTGGTTTTGTGCTATTTAAGTCATAATAATCGTTGACTTTGAAATTGTTGATTTAGGATTTGTAAATTTGATACGATTGAGTGATTGAAATAGATTATAACACCCATTTCATTTGAGGTTTTAATAGGTTTGAAATAAAAGTGAAATAGCAAAATAGTACCTACACGCTTCAGAAATAACACTTTTTGATTCAGTAGATTTAGTAATGTTTAATTTATATTTTTTAACATAACACATTTAGCGATAATAGAACAATCATTCGAGGTAATAGGAATATCAATTTAATTTGACGTTATGGCCAGTATTTGCCCGACAATCTAATAGTTATTTTAAATTGTTTTCATCCCTGTGTGTAGCATCAGCCTTTGATAGGGCTATGTTCAACATAGTAAATATCTCCAAGACCGGTGGAACAACTTATGTTTGATCATCATCATCATCATCAGCCAAAAGACGTCCACTGCAGGACATAGGCCTCCCCCAAGGTATGTTTGATCATTCGATGTCAAATATTTTCCAGACGAACCCCTTTTGAGGAAATCAAAAGTTATGTGTAAGGATTTTATACATCATTTACAAAAGGAAAACGGAAATTAAAAAGAGAAAATCAACGAACAATTTTCTCTTGAATATGTATAGTGACAGTATGCATCTAACTCTAATATTTCATTGTCTGTCCAGAACCTTATACTATATGTAACATACAAAATGAGATCTAAATTACAAGATGATCTGGCACCCACATTTTAAATGACTGAATTCTGAACTCAAACGTTTGGCCCGCCAACTAAAAAATCTGTTATTAGGTAATTCTACATTGATTTGGATTTCTTTTTATATTATCTACGTCCCTGAAACTTAAATAGTAATTTAAATAGTTGTATTCCTTTACACATTTTCTGTTTCAGAAATTTAACAAAATTGTATTAAATCTAATTGCTTTTTTCTTTACGGCCAAGCTTGACATGTACTCGACAAAGTTAGGTTTCACTGTATAAATATAATTTGATAACTTGTTATAAAGGACATTTGATAACTTGTTATAAGGCTTGCAATGGTTTTTTAAAGTTCAATAAAGATAAATTAAATTATATACATAAATATTGATTGACTTTATATACCCCGAAAGCATTAATTGAAATTTATGCAGTTCAGTAAGTAAGTATTTACCCTTTGTAAGGAACAAATCATTAAACTTTAAAAAATATTATCGAAAATATTACAAGCAGCATTTAAACAAGAATAAAAAATAGAGGATATTATTTAATCTCCGAATACTGTTCCATTTTAAGATAAAAAAAATCTTTCAGCAGCTCTTTTTAAACAAAAAATAAATAAGTTACTATGGTTTCATTCGATATTTTTGTTCACAATTAATATCAAACTGCATGTTTTAAGTATTTGATACCACTTTACTTAATAATATTTCTATTGTCACTAAGACTGTTAAATGATAACACATACTTATCCTTGCCAATAATAAACTAGTTATTGAACGTTTTATAGCTCAGATACTTTTGAAAGATAGCCTTTTATCAGTAATGTTTTCGACTAACACTAACGTTACCGGAATTGTACTGTTATATGAATAAAATATTTTAAACTTATTGATGACTGCTGACTCATTGCTATTGTCACCTGGCCGTAGAAACCAGAAGATTTCCGATACTTTTAAAAATATATTAATGTTTCTCCTCTCGTAGCTTATAGCTTGATCTAAGCCATAATATTGATATTTTTATTATAATAGGAATACCTGAGCCTTTGTAAAAAGAAATTCTCGGAGAATTTTTAATCAAGTAGCTAACATAAAAGTTATATCTCTAAAGTTAGTTTATGGGCTATATTGATAGCACCATAAGAAAATGTTGATGAAAAATTTTATGCTCTTTTGATTGAACTGAATTAATTTTAATTAATTATTATTATAAATAATATATATTACTACAATTTACAAATAACTTTTGTCATAAGTACCCAAGGCTGCCATCTATGTCTTTTTCCGCTCTCGCTTATACTGTCGGCTAAGGAAGAATGTGACCATGAAGTCATGATTTTTCATGAGCAGCTAGAATTGACCGTTTTACAAGCCACTCGTGTCAAACATTTAATCAGATCATGTTCTGCCTTTGAAGTAAATTACAGAAAAAAATAACAAAAATTCAAGAGAATTAATAATTTCGTTTAAAATAATGCATAAATTTTTTTTTAGGGAAAGGTAAAAGACAGAGGAAACTGATTCACATAGTAAATTATTAAAGCGTAAATAACTAGCAAAATTATTAAAGCGAAAATAACTAACAGAGTATTATTTAAAACGATGACTTACTTACTTTATTTCTATTTAATGCCATTACCATCACTGGGAGTTATTTCATAAAGCTATCAAATGAAGACTTAACAGTTATCAAGTTGGTGAAAAAATGTTCAAAGCAAACTTGACAGTAAAAACCCAATATTGAGATATTTAATATAAAGAATTTCTGAAATAAATAAAATTGAATTTTCGGAAAAAGCTTTCTATCCCATAATCTAAAAATCTTATAAAAGCTTTATTTGTAATACATTTTTAAAAAATCGAATTAAAAAATATATATTGAATAGCAACACTGATCACTAATCTATTATCTATTCGTTATTCGTTAACATTCGTCATTCAGTACTTACTACTTAATTTTAAACAATATAGTATAGACAATAGACTATCAGCCGTCAGTATTCACTCTACTCTAGTCCCGATTTCGAACATTCAAGTCGTTTCTAATAAAATAATAATAACTTATATGAATTAATTGCATACAAAGATTGACAGTTACTTGTTAGTACTTAATAAATACTAAGTCTAGATACATTTTTCACTCAAAAAATAGGGATATAGTGATAAGTTTTACATAGTTCTTAATTAAGAACTAAAAATCAAATATTGAAAATTCGCCAACAACAACGAAAATAAATTAACATGGATTTGGGTCTAGAAAACAAAAAAATACTTGAATTTTTGGAGTTAGTCGGGCGCCTTAAGGTTTTTATAAATTTATTTGCATATTTATAACTTTTATTGTATCGGTTCAATTTATAATAATTATGAATTTATAATATATTTAGCATATCAAAAGGACTGGATGGGTATTATGTGATATAGAAAACTGTGAGACCATAGCTGGTCATATGTACCGCATGGGCCTGATGACCTTCCTGCTTACAGAAAAAAATAATCCAACTAACCTTGATCGTTTCAAATGTTTACAAATAGGTAAGTCCTTTTTTTATGAGAAGAAACACAATAAATAATCATTTTTTTGTAATAACTTGTTCTAGTTTTTATAAAAGTAAATAGATAAAATTTTCATGAATTGTTTCAGTATTGATACATGACTTAGCAGAATGTATCGTGGGTGATTTAACCCCACACTGTGGTGTGACACCAGACGAGAAACATAGAAGAGAGGATGAAGCGATGAAGACAATCGCTGAACTCACTGGTTTGGCTGGAGATAGAATGTATGAGATATATAAAGTAAGTTTTTGTGAAGTTTCAAAACTAAAGTGTCCTATAAATTTCAAAACCTCCATATAACCCATAGATGGGCCTATTGTCATGATGTAGAGACATAAACAACCTTTTTTAACAAGCTTATCCTTTTATTATTGTTGTATTGACAAGTTTTCTCAGAGAAATATTTAGGGTTTTAGTTAGAAATGAGAAATTGTATGTAAAAGATTATAAATAACAAACAATTTTAATATATTACTTATCTATCAAATGTTTTTTTTAAATTACATACAGGTAATTTAATTCAATTTTCAATACTTTATATGTAATGACATAGATGTCAGGATATTGGGATATATATATATTCTTCAGTATTCTGTCACTACTACTTTCTGTAAGTTTTCACTATTCCTATGGTCACAATTCTATGTGGAAATATAATTTTTATTACAAGAATACCTTCAGTTAGATTGAATAATATATGAACTATGTGTTTTTGATAAAATATAATAATATATTTCTTCTGTAATCAAACATTTTCAGGAGTATGAAAACCAAAGTTCGCCAGAAGCTAAGTTCGCCAAAGATCTTGATCGTTATGACATGATTTTGCAAGCATTTGAATATGAAAAACGCGAAAATAAACCAAAAAAGCTTGAAGAATTCTTTCAGGCAACTTATGGAACATTTAATCACCCTTTTATACAAGGTTTAGCAAAAGAACTGTATAAACAAAGAGAAGAATTTGAAAAACAATCTATTAATATAGATTGATACTGCTTAGTGTAGTACAATTATGTGTATTAAGAAAGCTTTGTACAAGAATCTTAAAATATTTTACTGAGCTTTTTTATTTAGTTCAGTTAGAAAAAAATTGCTATTTTTATTTTGATTATATTGATTTTAACAGGTTATGAACTCTGGTGAGGCAATATTGTCAATTATTTTTTGTTACCATAAACAACCAGTATTTGATACTAAAGAATCATTGATTTCTTTTAATTTTTATGGTCTTTTAAATTTTAATAAACTGTTTTGTATTTGCAATAGCTTGTTTTATTAATAAATCTAAAAATATTATCAGTATACATAGTTCATACTTGTATGAGAAGAATTATGGTAGGGACTGAAAATAAAATGTCTTAATTAATGTTAACCATAATTTGTATTTTTTTATATTATTCTGAATATTGTTTGCTATAACATATACTAACCAAATTAGCTTTGATGCTATTAAAAAATGGCCTTGTCACCAAAACAATAATAGTTCTAAGTTATACTTTATAATAAACATGAATCTAGCTGGGAAAATTTTGATATAATATATTAAAAGTAGTTTTGAAGTAGATACAAATTTATTTCAATATCTTAGTTTAGATCATATAGCTACCCTATTTACATGGAAACCTTATCTCAAAGTATTTTTCTTGGTATCAAATTAATTATCAAATGTTAATAACTACTTAGAATACCCTATGTTTAAGAAACACATTCATCAACATCAAATGTTATAATAAAACAACTTTTGCAATGCAGATGTACAAAAACAATGAAATCAGTTTTTTAAATTTTATTTAATATAAAAGTGGTTATTTCAATTATTATACATATCTATTCAGTCAAATAAAGACTTCATAAATGCTAGTGGTGTTTTAACCATTAATAACAATGCACTTGTTGATTCGTTTTATGATAATATCAGCGATGGTTACATCTTAAATCACACAACACCAAGGAAAGACTTAAGTGGGTTTAAGTTAGGCTTCCTCAAGATCTAATGCAATTCAAGTACGCTCCAACCTTCACAGTATTTTATCATTCAAATAATGGTATCGATTTTAACTTAGTGTTCATGAAAAGCCAGCGGTCATATTTTGTCTTCAAAATTAATGAACAGCTTGTTTTTGATGAGAAGTTGCATTTTGCTCTTCTTTTTTTCGTTGTTTTTCTCTCATTAATTCAGCATCTCTGAAATTAACATTAATTACAATCAGAAATTATAATTTGAATAACATCTTTCAAGTGACAAATGAAATAATCCAAAAAAAGAAATCTATATAAAACTGTTGCTTACACAATCACTATTGTAGAAAAATAAATTTGTTAAGTAATAATAAAAACCAGTTGAATCTCTTCCCAATCTAATAAAAACAATAAAGTAATTGCACATAATTTTTACATTTTTTGTTAAGAAAACAAATAATATACCTATGTTTTCTTTCAGACAGTGACATGCCAGTCTTTTCATTAGCATTTTTCTTTTTTTGCAGCTCTTGTTGTTTCTTTTGGTTCTTAGCACGAGCTAAATCTCTCTGGTTTCCACCTAAAATCAAAGAATAAACACAAACATGAAGAATTGTTGTGTCATGAGTGCCAACGAAAAATTTAATGTAATTTATCATAAAACATCAAATTTGTTTATTAAAGTATATTTAACCACTATATCACTTTAAAATACAATTATTTAGTATCAATATTCTATTTGTTTATTAAATCAGATCTATGAAAAGTTGTCACATGAACCAGAGATGTCATACACCCACACAAGTGCTAATTTTCTAGAATATTCTCAAACACAAATCTAAAAAAAACAAGGAGGTATCGAAATAAAAACGAGGAAATATTAATCCATCATACACCATTGATGTTTTGGTGCGAAGTATAGTAAACAAAGAACAGATTGTAGGAATTAATTATTATTATGTACTTACGGGTCATGGTGGTTTCAAAAATAACTAATTAATATTTTTCAATACTCCGTTCAAAATATATAATACGGACGATACGCTATTCTGGCCGAAACCTAGGACAACGCACCGCCCTCCTTGTTATCAATGAGAAAGGAAATTTTAAGGCAACTAAAGAGAAGATCAGCTTTAGGACAAAGCTTGAATTTAGTAGATAGCCATTTTATAACAAGTTTCATAAAGTCTGACAGAGTATACAAACATTACAGTGTATGTAACATGTACTTTAATAGTTAAATTCCTAAAAATAATAACTGTTAAAACCAACACATCTTAGATATTTTAAGATTTATTAGACAATTTATGATATTTTAATACTAACATATCGTATATTATTGTGCAAATGATAAAAATATTATAATAGTTTCACTTATTGGTACGATGTTGGTTTATTCTTTGCTATGGAATAGAGTAAATTAGAAAAATATATCAAAAAAAATAATTATTACAAATAAAATAATTGTATTTAATAATAATATTAACCTGTTAATATCATAAATGTATTTTTTCTTTTTATACCCATTTAAAGAGTTTCTGAAAATGTATTTATGTAGTCATTAAAAACTTCTTGACAAATCCAGTTTTTAATAGGCACTAACCTACCTACTACCTACCAAGTTCTGACATTCTAGATTCTACGCTCCAGCTGTCAAGTTGTCAAAATGTCGGTCAATGCACAAATGCATCTCAATAAAACAGAGATTAATAAAAATAATGAAAAATCTCTTAAACCACTGTTTTCAAAACAGGCCGAGTGTTCTTACGTATCTTGCTATTGGTATATAAATTTTATTTCCGATGGATTTATTTAAAGTATAACTTAAAATGCCTCATAATATTTTGCTTTGTTTCCGTTTTTTGCGTCAATGCAGTGAAGAGAACGTCTGGAAGTTATGTCAAGACATATCCTTAAGGATCCCTGGGGAGCTGGATAGATGTTTTGTTGTGTTTATTTCAAACCCATGTCGCACTGTGCCTTTGTGGAAACAAAGGGCTGGGCGTGAGGAAGACCGCCTCGTCATATGGGTGTGTACAATGGACAACATATTTTAATTATGACTATTTCTTGATGCGCTATATTTGTATTATATAAAAACGTAGTACTTTTATATGTCTGAACTTTGATTGTTAAATATTTAGCTAAATATTATTTGTTACTGTTAATTTCTTTCAGTTGGCTCACTAGTTTATTTTATTTTAGAAGTGTTTGTTTTTAGGACTATCATGTAATATTTCTATATTCAGTGGATTTAAAAACTTGCCTTGTATATGATTTGGATTCTGAGCTGCCTTTCCCAACATTCTTCCACAAATATGTAACAGAAACTTTTCGGACAGACCAAGTATTGAAATCTGATTTTCACAGGTACAGTTTTCATTATTCTCATATTGTACTTATTCCACTTTAATTCACTTACCTTTAAGTTCTATAGACAGAAAAAAGGAAATTATTGAAATGAAAATGTATGCTGCTTATATCATTTTAAAAATTTATAAACCATTATATTTTATGTTTAAAATATTTGAAATGTTGTTGACATGAATTTAAATTTAAAAATTGGAAAAAAAATTGATTTATTTTTAATTTAAATATGAATTTAAATTAGTTTTGAGAGAGATTATTGTAAAAGATATTCATCTCTAAAAATATGTCTCAATACAACAGACATAGATCACATTTTTATAATCATGGGTCTTGATTTGATCATGGAAAAAATAATATACTTTGTGTGACAAATACATTTTACTACTCCTGCATAATTTGATGTGCATATACAGCTTTAACAAAGAAATGAGACATCCCAGTATTTTTTATGAAAAAGATTTAAAATATTTGCTTTTTTTATTTTTAACTAGCTGACCCGGCAGACTTACTTACTGCCCTTTGACAACTATGTTACTCATTAGAATATGAAAAAAATTTGGGAAATAAAAAGGGCGGTATTTGCAACTCACCTTTTTCCCTGGACTGTAGTATTTCCTAAAATTATCCAAATTTTAATATCATTTTAAGGTAAGGAACAGCAATCTTCATATATATAGAAGATGCAGCCTTAAATTTTAATACCATTTAAGTTCCCGCTAAGCAGTTCCTTCAACACTTTGCCTCCGACAGGCGTCATATGAAAAGACCCGATGGATCTTGGATCAAGCCACCGCCACCTTACCCTGCTATTTGTACCTCAAGTAATAAAAACTCACTTATTTCTTTGTTTCTGTATAATAGTGATTACAATTATTTCCTTTGTGCCTCCTACTATATGAATGACAGAACTTATTTTCAACACTTCATAATGGTTACATATTGAATAATTAAATAAATTTTGCACTTAGGTGACTTTTGAAATGTATGTAACATAAATACAGACTTATGCTGAAGGTGTTCCACTATGTTACTTTAACAATATCACACTTATTTACAAGCTTTTTATATTTTTTATATTGTACATTACTATTTTTAAATTTTCAGCTTCAACTCACAATTTGGATGAGTACATCAACATGGATACAGAAACAGGTCCGGGACAAGTTTTCAATTTACTTGATTTTGTACAACGTTTCTACAAAAAAGAGAAGTAGTAGGAACATAGATAAGACATGTAATTGATTTAAAACTATATTGTCATGACCAAACTTATGATTTAAGTTCAGTTGATTATGTTGTAGTAATCTTTTATTATAAATTTGTCTCTGGGATATTATGTAATTTTATACTTTCTTAGTGTTTCAAATTAATATCGCACAAATACAGTAATACCACTATTAATAGTCACACAATGTGAATTCAATAGCATTCTTTAAGAATATTTACCGTTTTCTGATTTTGAATATCTATTTATTCAACTAAGTTATATTTTGAACATTATTTTCAACATGAAATAATGTTTGAAATTTATCAGTTCAACAAATATAATTATAAAATATGTTTTTCACGGTTGTTTGAACTTTATAAGATATAACAAAGTACTTTTGATATTTAGATATAGAAAAATATTTTTTTTTCTTTTTTCTAAGTCACAGAACAGAGTTCCATAGTACATTTTACAATGTATTTACTTCTAGTCCTACCGTTAGTGTTATTTTACATACTTAATTTTTTTTTAAATAGTAAGTTGTTCGCGATAATTCTCCTTTGTTAACGATTTGCGAGCGGAATAAAGCTTTAATGGGGTTTTGCCTGTTAGAAACTACATGCAAAACGGTTTTGGTGTGACGTGACGAAAGAAAATGCTTAATTTTTTTTTATAAAATAAGTCTTAGAACCCGATTTAAATTCGAATTTTAAGAATTTTTGAATTTATCCATTATAATGTTATAATATATTAATGCTAAGCGGTAAAGTCTACATTTCATTCTTTTATAATTGGTAAATTGGTTGTACTTAAATATATTTTAACACGCAATACAAGTTGACCTAAATGTTAACGTGCTGTGGGGTTGATTATTTAAGGTTGAATAGCATGCCATACTGTATTAATATTATATACATATACATACTTTGAATAAAACAATTATAATTACGTATATAATATAACTATTTGAATAAAGCTAATATGAATATATTACACGTGTGTGTAAGCATAACATCGTTCATACATACGTACTTAAATATTCACTATTTATATGTCAGAATAAGTAACGGCTTACAGGAAAGTAAAGAGACAGAATCTCGATTTTATTTAAGACAAATATTATTTAAGATCGATCACATACAGCCAAAGTTAAGGAATACCGGTACAAATTAGTAAATTATTTAATCTATTATAATTTTTTAACTTATTAATTCAAATTTGAATTCTTATTAATATACACGTTTATAATTAATGTTGCATTTATCCTAAACCCACGACATATAGTGATATAATGTTACATTTAAGTATTTTATTGTAGAGTATATTATCGCAACGTAGCTTTTGTATGTTGTTAAATCTATTTGAAGTTTTTTATCAACTTTTATACACTCTTTTATCCTTCCCTCAGCACCCCTAGTATTAAGTAATGTTATGTACAATAGTCGATGCATTTTTTTCTTACCAAAGATTAATATTATTAAGTACATAAATAAAAATTATATTATCAAACAGAGAATTATAAACGAAGTTATAAAGAATATTATCTTTAAACGTGCATTGTCTTGTTATAGCATGAAGAACCTCTTTAATTATTATAAAATTTTATATTATGTGAAACTTCACTATAGATAGTTAAATATTACTAGCTAAATCATTATAATAATCCTTTATCCAACGTTATAGTTACATAAGATTTTTAATGACAACCAATTCCGTACGTCACTTTGTTATATAGTTTTTAATTTTATTAATCTGTATTATTTTCAGGGTTTAATTTCTGTGTTCAATGTTGTCTAGTCATTAGTTTAAGTGACGGTTCGTTGCGTATGAAATATTGAAGTGCTTTTAATGTACGTTATCAATAAAAATATAACTATATTTCTTCTATTATAGAAATTCTTCTTCTAAATAAATTTTAAGGTTTTAAAAATAATATGTTATTATTCGAGGCGTAGCTAGATATCGTCATGGGACCAACATTAAAATAGTTATGAATCACTAACAACACAGTGCTAGAATATAAAAAATATGGGGGCTGTGTTAGTGTCCCACTGGTTACGCCTTCACACTATTCATACTATTCACTAAACACGTTTTAATCGATACCTTCCTTCGAAGCCTTTGAAATCTTTATCTATGGACTGACAGCCTATAAGTGATAATAATTGTGCTTGTGCTTTTAATGTACCAAGTTACATTTTTTTTAGTTTTAAGATACGAAGCTAAAATAAAAAAATATATGCAACTTATTGTTTTATTTGACACAAATATTTGTTAGGTATTGTGAACTTAATTAAATAATATAATCTGTTCGATGTTTTCAGTACAATGTTTTTGCTGCCATAATAAAATAAAATTGTAATTGATTCAAGCATTTTTCGTGCGCCTACTATTTGTCACGACAAATGATTTTATATTTATTTATTAGATGTTTTGGCCATTAAAGCTTAGTCATCACGGGTAATTAATTAAAAAATTACAGCAGATGTTTATAAATTATATTTTAAGATTGTAACGAAGTTTTTAATTTCACGATAGAAACATCAGTATCCCCATTCACGAAATCTTAAAGAAATATGTGTAAATATTTGGGCAGTACATACTTCCACTTAGATGTTAACTACTCCACAACTTGTAACCGAACCCCAGTCTAACACTTGTATCGTATTTATAATATTCAAAAGTAACATTTTGATGAGGGTGGGTTATACAGGGTGACTGGTGAATTACTATCGATATTTGAGGACGTGATATTTGACGATCATATATGACAAAATAAAAATTAATATAACATAAATATTAATAAACTTCTGAGTAAAGTTAACCAAAAGTTATGTAATTAATTACGCATCGTATGAACACCCTACATATTAGGTATACACACACACACACACACACTCGCGCGGCGGCGTGTTGTTGTATCAGCACGCCGCCGCACGCGTCCACACTTGGAACACTTGGAACGTGTACACACTTTATTTATTTATACGGAAATTTGGTAAAAAATTAAGTACCTATTTTTTTTACATAATTCGAATGAGAATCATGTACTGAGTATGCTCCTTAAATATTGATAGTAAATCATCAGTCACCCTGTATATTAGCCGCTAGTTCCCCTCAGAAGAGTTTCCATTAAATAATAAAACACTTAACATTGTGCAAAACATGAAAAGGCTCTAATTATTAATTATAAAACCAATTCTTAAGTATATGGACATTAAAATTACTGTACAGAAATATTATTAACATTAATTTACACTATTATAACAAATATGTAGATGGCGCTAGTTGACTGTTATAAGAATTCCCAATAAATATTAGAATATAAATAACGTGAAGCTTAGAATTGTGAAGCAGACAAATATTTTAAATAATTATTACTAACAGTACATAATCTTATAAATAAAAACTATTTTTAATGTTTATAAATTTTATTCATCACAACGTTTTTAATTATTATTTCTACCTATACAATATTATTTGGTTAGAATCTCAGCGCCGTCGTTGGTGATGAGTATTGTGTGTTCGACTTGCGCGGCGCGGGAGTTGTCTTCAGTGACAGCGGTCCAGCCGTCATTCAATATCACAGTATATTCGCTACCGTGAGACAATACAGGTTCTATCGTGAAAGTCATGCCAGGTTGCATAAGTCCGGGATAATGATTCACTGAAATAAATACATAACAAGATTTAGAACAGTTGTCCAAAGATATTTGTACTAAAAAATTTACACTGAAACATGTTCATGCACTGAATTTTGCCTAGACAAAATTCGTATTATGAATACATAGTAACAATAAATAATTTTTTTTTTTACAGTAAACACTAAAAATTTCCGATACATGAAGTTACAATCACATATTTGGACCTGAGTCTTATGTAATTTTTGTTATATTAATTATCTTCAACCAGATATGCTTAGGTAAATAAAGCATCAGAGTATTTTATTTAATAAATGTTTAATACAAAAGCTTACATGTATGATGGATTTCTGGTGGACCATGGAAGTAGCTTCCAATCCCATGACCAATAAAGGCTGGTAAAACTGTTAGTTTGTGTTTCTTTGCTACTCGGTATATTCTTAGACCTATATCACAAAATGGTACACCTGGTCCACATATTTTTATGGCCTAAAAGACAAATATATAAGGCAATAGAATTATGAGTTAAATATAGGGTATTTATTTACCATGGTTATTTGTTATATTAGACAGAAACTGTTTAGAAATTCCATTTTTAAAGGATATTAGAAGCAGTTTCCATTTTCAATATCTGCAACATATTTTCTTACCTGATCCAAACAATCTTCAGTTGCCTGCACTAGATGTAATCCTTTGTCATCAACATCACCAACTAAAAAAGTTTTTGAACAGTCTCCATGATAGCCCTTATAAAACACCTTAAAGCAGAGTAATTTTCTATTTAAATTAAAATAATATATTTCTTATAAATCAATAATGAGTGGAATAAATTTCCATATTGAACAAGAGAGACTATACTATTATTTTGTATGCAAGCTATGTATTATTATTGAATATTTTAATCTCTATTCAATACATACTTAAATTATTCCTATACACATAATATTGTCTGTTATAGATGAATATTTTTTTATACTTACAGTTATATCCACATTAACAATATCTCCGCTTATAAGAGGTCTAAGATCTGGTATTCCATGAACGGCTACATTGTTGACAGATGTACACACACTTTTAGGAAAGCCTTTGTAGTGGAGTGGTGATGGGTAAGCACCGGCATCAATGCTCAAGGCATGAACTAATTCATCTATGTCATCAGTAGTTACACCTGGCTGGGAAATTAAAATGATTAAAGTTGATATTTTACTTGTACTTTTACTTTTTAATATGAGCCTTTTTTATATTTATTACTTTCCCTGGTTATGTCGTAATATTATAGATTAGAACACAGTCAATATCATTATTCTAAGTTTACGTTGAAATAAGCATTGCTTTATGAATTACATAATAATTGGTGTTAAGTATGCAAATTAAATAAACCGAATAATAAAAGTATTTTGTACCTGTATAAAAGGATCTAGACGTTTCAAAATATTTGCTGCCAATTGACAACTACATCTCATTCCAGTAATTTGTTCCTCATTTTTTATTTCAATTTTTTTTCCTATGTAAAGTGGATTGCCTGTTATATAATCTGGCTTTGGTATATGTTCGGGTACTGTCCGACTGGGTGTTGTATTCACAGGAAGAACTTTGTCATAAACACCAAATCGTTTTCTGTAACAGTAAGTAATGAATAATGATTAATAATAACAATATACCATAATATATTTTATATAAAATTGTTATCAAGATTTACATATACATTTTGAAATATACTTTGTAGAAAAATACCATATAATAGTTAAAATATTAAAGACCAGAGTTCTAATTACAGATTTTATAAGAATAGAACACTTACAATAATTGCTTTTGTAGACGAGGATTTAATGCTTTAGGTATTCTCATGTCTTCAAAATTATTTACTCTTTTTTTCAAAAGTTTCTAATATGGCATGGTTTTCATAGCTTTTTACAATCCCTTAAAAAAAGGTAAGTTAAGACACGTTATCTTACATTTTCGACCTCCAAAATGTACCAACAGTTGTAAATACTTGTCTGGATCGTTCCATATTTATTAATTAAAAAGCCAAACTAAGCTATAATTTAGTACTCAGGGTTTTTATATTTTCTTAAAATAGAAGTATTCATTTTATATTACAATTTTATTTAAGAATGTAGCCTAAATTTTTAACCTTGTCACAGCATGTAACAGCTGATTGATGTTTACCTGCAGAGTTGCCAGTAGTTCAATAAGTATTGTAGCATAAAAATCAAATAAATGTTACCAACCTCATAAAGGTACTTTTAAATCATCTTTATTTAGGCTTCATCATAAAAAGACTTTTTCAGGAATATTTGAATCAGTCTTCAAAATTTTTTGTTACTATTTTATATATATCAAAATATTGACCGTCGAAGTAATTAACTAGGTTGGTTTTTTAGAGTAAACTGAATATTTTTATAAAACTGTCTAACTGACATATACCGGATATTTGTGAATAACTGTAAGAAAGTGAGTAAACTCTGTAAATAAAATTAATGTTTATCCTGAAAAATAATTTATATTACCTATTTTTTTATGTAACTATTCGTGTAAATCTTATCTTTTTACCAATACGCTGTAGGGTGTGAAAAAAACGTAATTATATTAAGTAGTACTACTACAGTCAAATATAATTTGAATCAAATTTTTGGATCAAAAGATTTTTTTTACATTTTGAACTATCATGATGTGTACCGAAAGAGTAAATACTTCATATGTAAAAGTTAAGGTATAAAATGAAGGACAGGAGTTTTTGCTAACGCTTCTTGTTCATCGAAATAAATCATAAGCTGGTCTACACGAGCATAGGTTGGGTGTCTGAATTCAGGTTAAAAATAAATCCACAATTATTGCGCTATGTATCTACTTAATTATTATGGGCTTTTGTTTAATTTTAATATTATTAGTAACAGAAAAATACAAGCATATAAATTGTTTAAAAGAGATTGAATATTAAATTCCAGCTGTTTACGTCGGATATACTTTTAATCCATTGCACATTTTTGAAGGCTATCTATCCGTAAGATGAAATAGAAGTAGGTCAAGAGCAACTCGAATTTTTGAACAGATGCCTAGCCTTCGATCGGATTTATGTAATGGTGTTTAGGTTCTTTTTTATAGGCTCTTTAAAAGTTCTAAATTTAAGTCACTACTTATTAATTTAAACAAAATCTTAAAAATACAAATGTGCTATATATACTTACTATATTTTATGAAAATAAACTCTTTAGTATTTAATATATTTTGTGGCCAATCAGATATATACCTACAATATTTTTAGACATATTTTTACCAGAAAGTGTTGTCTTCATGTTATTTTAAAATGACATTCCAACTGAAAAAAAACCTTTCCCATCCTAAATGCTTTAAAATTCCATGTCTAAAATTTAACAACGAAAATTATACAATGACTTTATGTGGGATACAATTTGTGACTATCGACTTAACATACATACTCATATACTACATGTCAACGTATTCTGTGTTTGAGATAAAATTAATTCAAATCAAAATCCAGCAGGATCTTAATAAGATAATAAGCGTTTAAGGAAGAATCTCTTAAGATACGAAAAATAAATTGAGGAGCGTGCCATAGAATTAATTTGATATAACTACTTAGGTTCGTTTTGGTTGTTTTTCTAATTAGATATCTTTTGTTGGCGCTCTCTTAAATTGTTTAAAGTGAACAAAAAGTAATATTTTTATATGCAATATTTTTTCGCATTTTCTATTCGAAGTTAATGCCATTCATAAATATAATTGTTATAATGAAAAAGGATATTTTTTATTAATAATAACTTAATTTGAAAATATCTGACATATCTACGTATTTTAAGGAACATAATTAGTGTTTCATCCAATCTTAAACTTCGTAAGTTTGTGAGGATGTTTGTGTCTCTTTCAAATGTTAATGGATACGTTCACCAAAACCCAGCGATATATATCGTGTAGGTGATAAATATTTGACTGTTCTGCTTTCATCCTGGGCTCCGTAAAATGTTATCAGGTTCATCAAAATTCTTGAAATTGATTTGCGATAATGTACAAAAAACTTTCATACATGGATACAAATATCTTTTTTTTATAAAATAACCATGATTTCTCCTACTTTAAAATCTAAGGTCTCATCAAGTAGTTTATATCTCAAATCTTGCATCAATCAGTTATTTTGGTATAACTTTTTACATTGGATAAACTTACAGTAGAGATTAATTATTTATGTGAAACGTCTGCATTACATGTTTAATAAACAGAAATATTTTTTGCGTTCATTTAAATTTTAAATATTTCACGTCTTAACAGTTTAAATGTATTCCATATCTGTCTTAATAAGTGAAATTGAATTGTTTGTAATTTCAAATTAACAGCTATTCACTGAACATACATGAAAGTATGTATACGATAAGTACTGACATTAAAACAGCAATTTTAATTCTTTTACTTCTGCTAGTTCGTTCTGGCTTCTCTGTAGTAGCTTTAACAATTTTGACGGGATTTTCACTCGCAGGTATACAATTTCATAAGGCCTTTAGGCTATTTTTTAACGGACATCAAAAAGAAGTAAGTTGTCAATTCGACTAAATGTATATTACTCAAGTACTCCTTCCATTGAAGGCCGAATTTAAAATGATTTCCTTGTTGAAAGGGTATTGTTTTCAGCCAATTCTATTGTCACCAATTCAGCATTCTATTAAGAGTTCTTAGAGGAATCGAATGAAACTAAATAATCTGATAATTAAGTGCATCTCAAACTCAGTTGAATGGGCGATTAGAGACACATGCAATATTTAAGTACACTGATTAAAATTACCCATTATAAATACTTTAATTTTCAACATTTTCAATAAAAACTTCAATGAGTGCTGTTTTGCTAATATTGTTCAAAAATCTGTCAGTGTTGAATTTACGATACAAACTTGTTCTTAGTTTATCAACTGTTGAACAGTATGATAAGTCAATATGGTTTTGTCAAGCATAGTCTTATGGTTAATTAGTTATGTATAATGCACCAATAGTTCGAGAATTATTGGACAAGTGCCCCGTGCGGCGTGTATCTATTAATTTGAATGAAACTAATTTTATAAGGTTAATTATTGAAGTTAATAAAAGAAGATATCTTTTCTTGTCTCCTGGATAATAATTGTGTTTATGTCTATACTAGCTTTCCGCCCGCAGCTTCGCCCGCGTGGAGTTCGGTTATATCGCGTTTCCAAGAGAAATTTTCAGAAGTCTGGGATAAAAGGTCAACTCTATCTCTATACCAAATTTCATTAAAATCAGTTCAGTGATTTAGGCGTAAAAGCGTAACAGACAGACAGACGGACAGACAGAGTTACTTTCGCATTTATAATATTAGTAGGGATAAATTGTTAGTTAAACCTTTTTTAGGAACAAGAAAGCTTACTTTATTTTTATTTATTTTTTTGGAATTTGAAGTGTTATTCTTAATAAGTCTTTTTTTTACTGCTGACATCTACAAAGAAACTAAAATATACCTACAAGAAATTATTATTTATTAACACTTACATACTCGATTGAACGTAAATTTATTTGGCAATTGTGATTTTTTATATTTTAAATCTCATTCCATACCTTCATCTATATTTAGATACATCACTGAATTATTAAAACGTAATAAAACTCAAACTGTTGCCAATATTTTAAAATAGAATATTAATTATTTAACGATCATTCCTAAGAAGTGTGTAATGAAAGCACTATTGACGTGATAAACATTTTCCTAGCATGATAACTTTACAAATAATATAAATATTGTATAGTCATCGTACAAAGTTCTCCGTTCGTAACTGCATGTCAATAGATTATGTCAATGATTGTACCTACATAGGTCAATAAATGCTGTTATGAATATTCAATACATTTCATTATAATTTCATATTTACATATGCAAATAATTTAATATCAGTTACGTTTCGAACTTCAACGTTATGTCATTTTATTAAAATATACACGTAAGATTTATAATTTTCATTTCTTTGTTAATTTCGGGAGAAATTTATAATTATAATTTATAATTTCCGTCCATGGCACATTCGCTTTATATTGGTTATGTAGAAGTCACAATTTTATTCCTTTTCCCCTCAGTAATTCTTTTATTTTGATACCTTTTTACTGGTTAAGCTCTGTTAGGAGGATGTTTCAATGGAAATTAACTGTTGCGGTAGGGTATTAGGGTATTTCATAAGCAAATTATATATAGGTTTTACATCGAACCACTTTCACCAAACGAAATATAGTTAAATACGAATAAAAACGATGTCAACAGTTTAACTTATTTATTATATGTATATTTGTATAACTATATTATATCTAACTATACATTATTTACAAACTACAAGGCAGACGTCTTCAAATATACTCAAATGGTATATAGCAGAGTCTTCTTAAGACTAGTAGTGGGATCTGTGGAAGGCACAGGACGAAAAATATTGCGAAAGGGCTGAAGAGTATGCAGGTCCCCAACCAAGCTGCCAGGAACCATGTTGGCAGAAACGTTTGTTCCATCATACCCAAAATATATTAGTCCTTGTGACATAAATGTTCATTTTTGACTACAAACTACCGTTTTACACTAAATTGTAGCGTTTTGTGACTGTCATCGATGTATTAGGATCGCCATCTGGAAAAAAAAACATGATTCAGATTCAGAAATTAATTATATTGAAAGACGAAAATCAAAAAAATATATATTTTCGTTGTTGCTTTGGAACTGTTTCAAACTTTCCAATATTATTAAGTATATTTATAAAATGTACCAATACATCAATAAAATACTGGTACCATGCACCTGCGGTTATCATTCGAAACCACTTAAAGTTTGTATGTTCACAGATCACGTTGAA